CCCCCACCCCCCACACTGAGCTATTCCTTTCTAAATGCAAAGCTTCCTTTTTTCAGGTAAAAGCTATGGTACTGAAGTAGATTGGATGGACTCTACTTCAGAGGAAGTTGCTCTCTGGGAAAAGATGGTAAATTCCCCCAACACTTGGATTGAAGCAACCCTGCCTCTCAGAATGCTGTTGATTGCCAAAATTTCCAAATGAACCCAAAAGTCTTCTCCTCTGAAAACTGCTGAACAGGTGGACTCTCATCTTGAAAATCTGACTGTGTGGACAGAGATCATCACCTATCTATTGCCACTAACAAATGCTACACAGCACGTTGAAGTCAACCTGCATGATGTGCTTCTTTGGTTACAAGGCCCAAGAGATTTAAATAATCACAAAATGGGTAACTTATTTGTGACTCCAACAGTAAAGAAGATAGTTGAGAAAGCTAGGAAAATTGAACTGTTGCTGCTGCTTCAAAGAAAAAGCTGCCCAAAAAATATTAAATGTGGGGTGTGGGTTAACAGGCAGAATTTTCTAGTTTGCCATCATGTGTTTCACAACACAGTCTGGAGCTACAGTTAGGAGGGTCTGCCACTTGATCATTGAAAGCCCTTGCAGGAACTGAAAACAAGTAAGTTGTGGAAAAGAGTGACAGAAAGATACTCCGACGAGGGGGAGAAAAGGCAGAATATTTGTGATGATAAAGAATTTGACCATAAGAAAACTATTTACTCTGCAATCTCTATTAAAATGTGGAATTCCATGTTAGCACCACGAGACTGAATTTACTGCATGTATTTCTGCCTTGAGAAACTGCTTCCCTTTTCCCAGCGTTAAAACAGTCTCAAGTGTACTTTGGTGCCACCCACTGGCCATAGGTGGAATTCAGTTTTGGGCTCAATTTTTCTCCGAAGATAGGTCTCAAGCCTGTATTTTGTAATAGGTATGTAAAAAAACCCCCCAAAACCTTGCATATATAAGGTTTTGTTTTTCTTGTAACTCTACTATATAAAAGCAGCATGAGAGTGGTCACAGGCATGCTTTGCAATAAAGTTTTAATTAGAATGTAAATTGTTAAATTATACTGTACTTCTATGTATGTATAATTTTCATAAAGTATTTTATAAAAATCCTTAGAATAAATTATTATATGATTTAATCGTAATGTCAAATGAATTGGACTTTTCATTTTAAATGAAATGCTTTATGTTAAAAATCCTAAAATCTAAATTCCCTAGCAAGGCTAAGGAACTTCTACTGAGTTAATATTTCTTCAGTCTTTACTGCAACTCTGGACATCATTTCCTTTAAGTGGGAAGCTTTGGCTATGTTATTAAGAGCACAATTTTTATTTTAAAAAATAGCTGAAAAGCTTTGAAGATAAGTTAACGTTTATTCTTGAAAAGTGTTCCACGGAGACATTTTGGAGTCATTTTAATATATAAAATATCATTCCCCTTAGGACCCAACTAGCTTCCCTTTCTCAAAAAGATCACTGATTTAATGTAGCTTAGGGGAAGCCTGCATGGTGGGGGAGTGTGAGATCCTGTAACAGGTGGCTAATAAATGTCATTTAAAGCAACTAGAGTGCTTGACTCCTCCCCACACAGACTAGAACTTCCTACCCACTTGCCAGTAAGAGCGATAGTACCACACCCTTCCCATTGTCTCTTGAGGTCTTTTATGGGGGTGTTTAGTCTGACTCTGTTCCCTCTTCCTGTTGTGACCTGGGGAACAGCAAGATAAGCTGAATGGAGGCACACCTCCAAGGTCAGCCTGGAACAGTGGCGGAAGTGTGAATCCTGTTCCAGCTTCCACCACTTCACATTACAAACTACTTTCTCAGCCCTGCCTTCGGTTATCTGCTCAGCCTTCTCCCAGCATCCAGCCAGCTTTGAAGCACTTATGTGATTGCTTCCAGTATCTCCCCATCTAGGACTAGAACTGCCTGCCTCCTGCCATCCCCAGATGCCTGACTTTCAAAACACCAGAGTGGACAATAGAACCACTCTCCTTGCATCTGCCCGACTTCCAACTGCCTCAGGACATCCAAGGGGATCTCCTGTTATGTTTTTTCCTGAAAAAGAAAGCGTACATCATAAATTTAATCTCACCTGGCTGCAAGAGGAAGGCTAATGGGACTTACACACATTATCAAGTGTGGGCAACCTGAATTCTTTAGTGAACTCAAATTGACAGACTTTTGCGCCAGTGAGACTTTTAGGCAAAGTCCTGCTAAACCTTCAATGTTTATTTTCTTAAACTGGAGGCATTTCCTTGAACTGCATGTTTTAGGGCTTTTTTCACTTTCTTTTTTGAGAAACCCAACTAGAAATAAGCCCAAAAAGGGGATTTATTGGAAATATACTGGATTAGTCCATAGAATTAAAGAAGTTCTGCAGGAACCCAGAGTACTTGGAGGACTCAGGCTGGAACCAGGAATTCACATACCACCTGTCATCTTCCTCAGGGAGTGAAAATAGCACCACAGGCAGCTCCAGCATCACAGCCTCTCAGCTAAAGCACTTCTCTTTGCTAGGTTCGGCTTCAGAGGTCTCTGGGAGAATTGGGCCAGGCTTGGGTCATCTCCCTAGGTGGGGACCACTCCCTGTGGCCAGGGATGGATGGGGTAAGATCTTATGATCGACCCTGCCTGGATTATGTGTCCACCCTGTGGTGAGGGAGAAGTGATTCATTATCAGAAGAATGGGGTATTATATAGACATGGGCACTGGAGAAATCAAGAGCTGCGTAGCCACACAATTTGTGTCTCCCTCAAGTGAAAATACTTCAAAATTCCATTATTTAAAAATGAAGTAATATTTCAAAGAGTCTCTGTTGACTCTTTCCGGAGAGGCCTAAATTTCCCCATCTACCCTGACTGCTGCAGCTTCTAAGTAGGTGGCGAGGATCCTGGGGCCCCCTGCCTGCTCAGCTGGCCTGGGAGTCCACCAAAGGCATGATTATTACTGTTGGCCCAGGCTAACTTCTTCCAGAGAGGCCTGGCTACATGTACCAGGGAAATTGCCTGGACTTCTTCTTTGCACATCTCTGTCATCCATATTCACTATCCAAGTAAAAAACCCCTGAACATCTGCCTTCTCCTGTACTCTCATTCCCAGTCTGCTTTGGGATTGCTCTCCCATCTCCTTTCCTGTCTCCACTCCCTCCCAGGCTTATTCACTAATCTCACTAGTTTGTTTCACAAAACAAATTCCCTCACATATCGGATCCAATCTCAGAACATTCCCTCCACTTCTTATCTGACTGTTCCAAAAAACTTGTTCTTCAGCCTTACAAAAAGATGAGTCTCACTGTCCTACACTCAGTACCTCAGTCAGGATGTGGGAGCAGACTTCAGACCATTGCTCCCCTATCTTTATTCTTTGAGAATAGGGATGTGTCTGATTTACCCATGATCACATTAGCACTTATCACACTGAATTGCTGTTTTCCTATTATTTGTCTGTCTACATCATCAGACTGTAATCATCTTAAGAGCTAGGACTGCAACCTTGGACATAAGAGTTTCTTGGTATGTGAATTGAGTGAATGAATAAGCAAATGAATGAATGAAGAGTGAAAGACCATGGGCTTTCATATCAAAAAGCTCTGGACTTGAATTCTGGCTTTATCACTTTCTCTCTAGCTGACCTGGGGCAACTTGCTTAATCTCTCTGTGTCTTAGTTTCTTTGTTCCCAATAAAGTATAAAATGTAGATAATAATGCTTACCTTTCAAGAATATAGTTAGAATTAAATAAGATGTACAAATGCCTATTACTGTGTAGGGTATATAGAAGAACTCTGTAAATAGTAGTTCAAAAAAGACAGGAAAAGACTTATTAACAAAGGCCAAGTGGAGGGGATTCACTGGTTACCACTAGGGAGAGCACTGGCCAAGTTTTTTATGCCTTAGACCTCTGGGAAGGGAAATTATTGGATACTTTCAAGATCAATGGTTGCTGGAAAAAAATAGTAGAACAAAGAAAACAACCATGGCAGAGAGGAGCCAAAAGTCATCATTACTAAACTGTAAGTTCTTTGAGAGGAGTGATGGTATCTAATGTATTGATGTATACTAGCTTCTAGCACTGCACTCTACATCGCAAATGTTTGCTGAATAAATTAATGAATACATGTTGATCAGGATCTTGTGAGATTCTTAGCTTTGACAAGTAACCTATGGATTTAATGTTATTTAAAATAATTTTAACATAGAAGAAATATAAAATATTTTTAACATGGAAAAGCTATTTAATCAACAAATATCACTTATCATCCACTATGTACAAGGGACTTAGGTAGAAAGAGGAGGGAAAGCATCCATCAGCTCATCCTCAAGAAACAACTGCTATTCATGTTTTGAGCATTTTCTTTTCTTCTTTCTCTTTTCTTAGGAAATATATTCTGTGAATTCACTTTACCACATCAGACAACCATATATGGTAATCAGCAAATAAAATTTTCAATATATGTATGAAATGCATATATTTAAATGAAGAGGACTATTCTAACTTTCTAGTCACTTGCCTCCACTTTACAAGTTTCATTTCAGTATACGAAGCTTGAAATTTAAGGAAAAGAGAAGAAGAGAAATGAAGGAAAAATTACGAATAACTTTAATTCATATTTTTTAAGTCTTTGGAACCCACTTTTGTAAGACCTCAATATCATATACTTTAAGTAGTTATTAAAATTTTAGTTCAGGAAATTTCCCTAGTCCTCAGTCTGGCTTTCAGTGTATAGATGAGATTCAGAATTTGAGATGTGAGACCCTGATCTTTGAGACCAGAGAGAAAATCTGAAATGCTTTCTTCAAATCTATTTTGCTCCCAGTGAAATCTGAAGCATTTAAAAATCCATCCAACATCTATAATGACTCCCAAGCTTTTTCTTTATCATCCTGACTTGAAAGATTAAGTCTGATCATCAGAAATAATGATGACAGGAATATTCAACTCTTGGCTCTATGCTGAAGTTTTCACAGCATTAAAAACATTCTGAATTTTAAGTTTTTTGTCTTTCTTTTTCAGTTATCTTTTTTTTTAAAGATATTATTTTTTTCTCCCCAAAGCCCCCTGGTACATAGTTGTATATTCTTCATTGTGAGTCCTTCTAGTTGTGGCATGTGGGACGCTGCCTCAGCGTGGTTTGATGAGCAGTGCCATGTCCACACCCAGGATTTGAACCAACGAAACACTGGGCCACCTGCAGCAGAGTGCGCGAACCTAACCACTAGGCCACGGGGCCAGCCCCCAATTATCTTTCTAACATGAGCATTTCCATGCGATTAAGTTACCTATAAACATGATAATATTTAATGGCTGCATAATATTCTGTTATATGAAAATATCGTAATTTTTCTTAACATTTTCTCTTTTTTGGACATTTAGAGTTCCAACTTTTAGTTGTTATAAGCCACACTGTAATGAAAAGTTTTGAGCAAAACTTTTTCTTTCAGATTATTTCCTGAGCCAAGATCTCCCCAGAAGGGCAATCATTAGTTCAACAGGCATAAAAATGTTTCAAGTTCTCAATACGTGCTGTCAACTGACTTTCACCAACAGTATAAGACAGTACCTATTTCACTATACCCTTTCCGGTCCTGAGTAGTCTTAAAATAAGGGGGAAAAACTTGACTAATTTGATAGATGAAATTATGTTTAATTTTAACTTGTATTTATTGGCTCACTAATGAGGTTCAGTTCTTGGCCATTTCTGTCCCCTCATTTGTGAATTTAATTGTTCATTTCTCTTTGAAGATGTTAATGCTTTATTGATTTGAACAGGCTCTCTATAAAAATATAAGTCTATTGTCTGTCATATTTATGGTGGATATTTTTCTCAATTTGTTTTTTGCCTCCAAGATCCATTCAACACACATTTATCTGAGTTTCTCCAATGTGCCAGACACCGGTCTAGTCATTAAGGATGAAACAGACACAGTCCCTGCCCTTAATGATACCAGGGTTTAGCAGGAGGAAGCAGGCAGGTAAACAGTGAGTGCAATGAGGCTTTAACATGCTCTATGAACAGGCTATAGTGAGTGGATGCGCTAAAACAGGTGAGTGGTCAATTCTAATGCAGAGGCCAGGAAAGGCCTCACAGAGAGGATGATTCTTTAAGTATAAAACACTGAGTAAATTACTAGAGCGACAAGTGACAAGATGGGAAAAGGCATTCCAAGCAGAGGGAACACCTATATACAGGGCAAGAGAGCTGGTGGGTTAGGGGAACTTCAGTAGTTGGGTTGGGCTAGGGAGTAAAATGTCAGGCAGGTCCAGAGGAAGGAGAGGCTGGAGAGACCTCAGAGGTCACAAAATTTTTAAAATTATAGATAACTTTAGCTGTTCAACAAAGTCAAATTAAGCTTTTCCTTGCTCATCTCTTAGATAATGTTTAAGCTAAGTCAGTCCTTTCTGGCCCAGAGCCTTTATGCTTACCTTTATTTTCTACTAGTCTCCATTTTTAATACTTTGATTTTATTTCACTCTTATTTAACTAATCCATCTGGAACTGACTTTGGTATATATTGGTAAGCCTCATTTGGATCTTTTTGTCTCTTTTAATGTTTATCTTATCTACATTCATTAATCTTCTTTCTGTAACCTTATTTTGCTAATGGGTAAAAACAGGGAGTGCTAAATATGTAATAAAAGGTATTCCCAGCTGGGGACAATGCTAAGGGAAACAAAAGAAATTTCGTTGTGTTTGCTCTTTTCCTGAGCTGTGCCAAATATTACAGGTGCAAACTCACAGCCATTTAGGATCCTGACTCTCAGAATACAACTGTTACTTTGTATTTATAGACTGCAGATTTTTAAGTTGCCAACTGTGTTTCCAAAGACAGCAATTTATTCTCATGACAACTGAAGTGGGGAGGAAGAGGAATGTGTCATCATCAGCTTAATTTGTTTACTCCTACCAGAAATTAGGCAGAGTCAGACTTCTTCCCCTGATAGAGGCTGGAAATCTAGTGGGGCTGGCGTCTCTTCTCTGTACCGTATAGGCCAGACACTGGGCTGTGAGCTGAGATCTGTGATTGGTTAGAAACCCAAGCATAACCTGACCAGATTGGTTCTGAACTCCCCCAGGTCCCCCGGTTGTTACTTCACAGCATTCTGAAGCCCTATCCACCAATCACAGGGCTCCTTACTGGAAAAAAAACAACTGCTGGAGAGTGCCAGGAGTCCCTAGCAACTCTGTGGCTTTCGAAATCTCAGGGGGAAAGGCTGTTTAGTCAGCTGATAGTGGAGGAGAACGCCTATGCCCCAGGAAGAGAAGGCCCTCCAGATGGACACCCCACCCTCTGAAGAACCCTTAGATAAGCAAAACGAAAAACTGGAAAACCAGGAAGAGGAGATGGAGTTTAAGGAACTGGACGGTCTGAGGGAAGCCTTGGCAAACCTCCGGGGACTGTCTGAGGAGGAGAAGAGTGAGAAGGCGTTGCTTTGCTCCCGCATCCAGGAGCAGTCCCAGCTCATCTGCATCCTGAAGCGGAGGTCAGACAAGGCCTTGGAACGCTGCCAGATCCTGGAGATGCTCAACACAGAGCTGGAGGAGAAGAGGATGCTGGAGGCCCAGAAGCTGAAGGCCAAGAAGGAGCATGCCCAGAAGCTGGAGGAACGCTTTATGACCCTGGCAGCTAACCACGAGTTGATGATCCGCTTCAAGGACGAACACAAGAGTCAGAACGTCAAGCTGAGAGAGGAGAACGAGAAGCTGAGGCTGGAGAATGACAACCTCTTCAGCCAGGCTCTGAAGGACCAGGAGGCCAAAGTATTGCAGCTCACTGCCCGGAGCGAGGTCCTCGCCAAGGAGCTGGAGACTCTGAAACAGAGGTGTGCTCAGGATGCCTGCCAGGCACAGGCCCGAGAGAAGGAGCTGCTGGAGCTGCAGAACCAGCAAGCCCAGGCCCACACCAAGGAGACAGAGCAGCTGCGCAGCCAGCTGCAGAGCCTCAAGCAGCAGCACCAGCAGGCCATGGAGCAGATGGCAAAGGCTGAGCTGGAGCACAGCAGCCTGAACCAGGAGCTGCAGGCCAAGCTGCAGACCGTCACTCGTGAGAAAGAGGAGCTGCTGCAGCTGTCAGTGGAGAGGGGCAAGGTGCTTCAGAACAAGCAAGCAGAGATCCGCCAGCTTGAGGAGAAGTTGGAGATGGCAGATGCGGCCAGGAGGCATGCGCTAGAGCGGTTTGAGCAAGAGGCAGTGGCTGTGGACAGTAATTTGAGAGTCCGGGAGCTTCAGCGCAGGGTAGATGGGATCCAGAAGGCCTACGATGAACTCAGGCTGCAGTCTGAAGCCTTCAAAAAGCACAGCCTGGATCTTTTAAGCAAGGAGAGAGAACTCAATGCCAAACTCCGCCATCTCTTTCCGTAAGGAAGCTTCTGCTTCCTCTGGCCTCCAATTTAGAATTCAAATATTTGTGCCTTAGTATTATGGCAAGAGTAAAGATGGTATTCCATTTATTATACTTTTAAGCACAACAGGCAACTCAAAGAAAAGCTACTTTACTATGATGTTGTTGTTTTTACTATTGTAAGGCTAACACTCACTTGCGGTCCTACCACCTAGAATACACAAGATTTACCAAATTTCTTTCTTGGGGCTTTGAAATCTTCCTAAATTTGCTATCAGTATCTCTACCTCCCCTGTAATTTATTCATTATCAACCTCAGATATCGTCTTATATCCTAAGATTTTAAATTAGCAGCTCCTATGGATTTAAGTGAATCTTAAATGTGCAATGAGATATGCTATTGTGAAAAAAATTAGCATAATTAGCCCTTGTAGATAGGTAGGCTTGTAGTCTCCTGTAGTTGAGATTTTAAACACTAACAGTTGACAGCATAATAATAGCATGGATTCCTTGCAGAAAAAAGTGTCTGATTTTGCAACCAGCCAAATAGTTGCTTGCTTCACCTGCTTTACAGCAGTATCCTTTTTATCTTATTTTATTTGCACTAGCTTGGAGAACAAAGATTGAGACTATTAAGTTCTTTACCAAAGTAGGCAAACTTATTATAGTCATTCTATATAAGCAACAAGATTCAAATAAGTGAAATCAACCAGTTCTTATTTCGCCTGAAAGCTTAGATCACATTCCATTTCCTTGGTTTTTCTCCTTGATAAAACAGGATTTAGAGGTGCAAGAATGCAAATACCAGTACTTTCATTTAATTTTGCACAATATGCTAATAGACAAAAGCCCCCAATTTGGGGTAACAAGTTATAGCAGACTGGGTATGATACATGTAGCAACACATAGTGATTGTTTTGTCTCTATTAGTATATTTTTCCTTACAATTAACTTTTTCCTTGTTTAAAAAAACATTTAAATGGAATGTATATAGGTATACCTATAGCATTTTTGTAGGAATACCTAAATATGTAGTTATAAAAACAGATCATAGTTGTTACATATATATTTATATAAAGTTCTTAAAGAGGTAGTTATAAAAAAGTTTATGCTTACTTCTATGTATGTAGTTGATATATAAACTTATTATGAATACCTCTCAAAATAGATTGCAATGTAGTATTTTTCTCACCCGTTTGGTGCCAAGAGTGCCAAGAGTTACCTAATGTTTTCGTTTTATTGAAAAATGCTACTTGGTACCTTTTTAGTAAACAGTTTGCAAGTATCATTTACCTTACCTCAGGCAATTTTTAAAACCTATTTTCTCACAGTTCTATTAAGACTGTGGTATTAAACACGAATTCCAAGGAACCACATTGCTGGCTTGAAAGGACTATTTACTTCCTCTTACACGTTACCAAGAACCAGAATGTAAGAGGTAGTTTAATTATAGTCATCCTTTATTGGGCTCACACTATTTATCATTGTGCTGAAGCACCTCGGATGTATTGTTTTATTTAATCCTTAGGGCCATTCAAGAAGGTAATTATGTTCATTTCTATTTCAAAGAAGAGGAAACTGGGATTCAGCAACTTGCTCAAGGCCACATGTCACTGAAAGAGCTGGGATTTTGATGACAACACCACACTGAAAGATTTATTGACTGTCTACTGAGTGCCAGGCTCTGGGGTAGGCACTGAGAATAAGCATGCAGAAGCATGTTTTCTGCCCTGGAACAGCTCCTACACAGTCTAGTCTAGGAGCGTAAAAGCAATTACATACAGTATGATGTTTTTTCACAGTTATGTGATCACAGTTCGTAAAAACGCACCCAGCAGCTAACTCTGCCTGGGGATAAGGGTTGGGATGGTAGAGAGGATTGCCAGGGATGACTAATACAAGAGTTGATATATAAACTGGTTCTTAAATGACTAGTAGAATTTCCCAGAAAGGTTTGAGACAGCGTCATGTAGAAAGTCATGAAGGTTTTTAAAAATCCCAGAATATCTGGGGAAATCATAAGCAATTGGGAGGAGGTGCAGAGAAGTAGGTCCCCAGATAAAACTCCTGCATAAGGGGCCGGCCTGGTGGCGCAGTGGTTAAGTGGGCATGTTCTGCTTCCGCGGCCTGGGGTTCTCCGGTTCGGATCCTGGGTGCAGACATGGCACCGCTTGGCAAGCCATGCTGTGGTAGGCGTCCCACATAGAAAGTAGAGGAAGATGGGCATGGATGTTAGCTCAGGGCCAGTCTTCCTCAGCAAAAAGAGGAGGATTGGTAACAGATGTTAGCTCAGGGCTAATCTTCCTCAAAACAAAAAAAACTCCTGCATAAGTTTTGCACCCAGCCGGTGAGGAGGAGGCGGCTCCTGGGCAGAGGCCGGCCAAGGCGGTCCTGGAAGACAGCTGAGGGCCACTCGGTCAGGGAATCCTCGGGTCCCGGTACTGGAGAGTGGTCTAGTAGAGGGCTTGGCTCTGGGAACTCCTCGTTAGGTGGGGAAGGGTGCGTCTGGAATAGTGCAGGAGTGGGTAAGGTAGGGGGATGGGGGCCATGTCCCCTAAAACATAGCTGCAGAGGAAGAGTTTCAGTTGCTGGGAGTCTAAGGATGGTACTATTCAAAGTCATGCTGGGGAGTTTGTGTTAGGTTGAATCATATAAAATTGCTACTTAGTAGATCACAAATGATTAGATATGGGCCATTTCATAATATTCATTCTAATACCCTTTTGAAAGATATTATAAGGAAAATGGGTAATGAGAACAGATGGTCGAAGATGGATGGATGCCTAGAGAACAACTGAGGAAAAGGGCCCACAACACAGACTACGAAAGTAAGAGGAATGTGAACCTATCATGTGGCAAGTGCTTTTCATGTCACCCTCAGAGCAGCTCTTCGAGGGAGGTTTAGTTAACACTATTTTACAGATGAAGAAAATGAGACTCAGAGAAGGTGACTTGCCCAAAGCCATGGAGCTTCGAGTGGCAGGAGTGAGATTTGAACCCAAGCCCCTCCGGCAGGGCTGGCTTCTTGGGTCTGCCACCTGCACAGGGACCCTGGACTTGTTTAATGCTCTACTGTTGCTGCCTTGAGATTCTTAATAATTGTATGACAAGGGCTCCACATGTTCATTTTGTGCTGGGCTCTGCAAATTATGTAGCTGGACCTGCTTTTAGCTCTAAAGCCCATGCTGTCTCGCATGATACAAACTACCTTCTCACCAGTCACAAAAAGGTACTGTTTTTTTCCTCTGTGCTTCACAGTACTTTGTATTGCACTCTCTCAGTGCTTATCTTCTATTTAATCTGTGACCCAGAGCCAGGTTAGGGGATGAGCAACTAGTTTAGTTACTATGGTATGCTGATCTAGAAAGTGACGCTTCTCACTGGAACAAATTGAGAAAATGTAAATTGGCCACCTCCAAACTACTCCCCTTGGGGGGAAATTTAAAAAGCAAACCACAAAACTCCTTTCTAAAGCAGACTTATATCCCTAGTGAATTTTTCTGCAACATCCACAAGCAGTAACCCTAAAATGAAAGCAGAACAGAGATTCTAAAACCAAATAACTTGTGAGCAGTGCTGGGTAGCTGTTAAGTGTCATCTTTTGTGTTACCTATATTGTAAGCCCTTCAGTGTGCCTCTAAAGAACTTGTCTGGTTCAGAAATATCATGAAAGAGCTAGGAAAGGAAGGAGAGCTACAGGAAAAGTGAACTGACTGGCTAATGTTTTCACAACACTGACTTTGCTTCAATTCATGAAAATTAGTCAAGTTAATTTGTTTCTAGTAGACAAAGTATTAGTAGAAAATCTATTTCTCCCCAACTCCACCATATTAAAGTAAAACAATTATTTAAAGAACATTGATTGAAGGAGTACCCGCCCAGGTGCTTGCTGCTCTAGCCAGCCCTCTTTCACCCAGATACCTGTGGGGTGGCTCTGGCTCCGTCAGGGCAGGAATGACTCTCTGCTCCCCACTATGGCAAGACCAAGAGAGCTGGGCAGACATTTGAGATACTGTCTCTTGGCACATGAATAAAGGAAAGAGGAGGATCACAACCCTAACTGCTCTCCCAAAAGCTGACCCTGCCCCTCCAGATGACTTGTCTTCCCCTGTCATTGGCCAAAATTGGGCCATATGCAAATACCTCAACCAAGCGTCTTCATGGGGAGCGTTGCTACCATGACTGACTTAGATCACTCAGGATCTGCCCCTGGATGGAACTGAGGCCAGTCTATGCCATATAGCAGAAAGGGCTACCTGACAAAGGCAGGGCTCTATCAGCAAGAATGAAGGGAAGTGGATGTTAGATGAGCCCCCAGCAGTGTCTGCTGTACCGCATACTTAGATTGCAAGCTTTTATCAGGCAAAGAATCTTTTTTTTTTTTATCTTGACCTCTTTAAAACCTTGTTGGAATTTTGGAAGGTGGCCAAGAATGGGCTTTTCTAATCTTTTGTCCATCTCCCCAAGGACAAACGATATTATTTTCCAAACACTAAAAACATCTTATTAAATCTAAGGGCCTAGGGCTGTACAGATGAGTCTCCCTACTTGATGTTATTCTTCCAAAACCTTCTGTTTATCCCACTTGGAAAAAACTAATCTAAGAAAAAATTTTCTCTTGGACAGATCTCCCTAGTCACTCACCACACATTCAATTGACTACAGCATCCCCTTCTCCAGTCCCTCACTCCCCAGTTCCACAAAGAGACTGTCTTAGCTATTTGCCAGACTGTCTCTATTTAATGCTTTAATCCACTCTTTTCTGTATGAGTCTAAAATTATCTTCCCTTTCATCTTTAAGATTATTTACTACAGCATTGTTTGTGATAGCAAAAGATTGGAAATGGTCTACATACCATCAATAAGGAACTGGTTAAAAAACTGTAGGCCCTTCATACTTTGGAATACATTGCAAATGTAAAAAAAAATAAAAAGAAAGAAAGACAAAGGAAGCTCTTTATGTACCAATATAGAAATATCTCCAGGACATATATAGGAAAAAAAACCCAGGATGCATAATAATATCTGTAGTATACTATCTTTTGTGTAAAGGGAAGAGGAAGAGAAGGGAATAAGAATGCATACATATTTACTTCCATCTGCATAAATATTAGGAAAAATAAATACTAATAAAAGTGGTTGTTAGTAGTGTAAGGGGTGTGAGGACTGGGGTGGTTAGGGATAAGAAGGGGAAGGAAACTTCTCAATAGATACCATTTTATATCATTTGACTTTTGAACTGTGTGATTATATTACCTATTCAAAAAGAGAATAAAATTAAAAATAAAAATAAAAGAATCTTCCACATAACTGCTTAACTTCTGAGCAAGCTCTATTTCTGTGTAGATGACTCAAAAAGCCTACAGATTTTTCTTTTTCCAAGAAATGAGTAGACAAGATAAATTTTATATAAAGCCAAATATGGCCTGACAGATCTGGGTCAAGCCATTCAGCTGGAAGCTGCTGCTTTCACAAATGTGCAACAACATACGGATAATAACAATATCTTTTTCTGCCCTAAGGAGTGCCTTTTAGTGATTGCTATTTCTCTCCTAAATTCAAAGATTTGAATATATTAACTTTTCTCATGGATTTTCGCATGTCTGTGTGAGACCTAATTTTACATGTTAGAAAGCTTATTTTCTCATATATTCAAGTTTCTAGGCTTTGGATGTTGGTTTTTGGTTTTGCCCTAACAGACTAACAAAAGATGGTAGAGATAGGGCAGACCAAGACACTCTTTCAACTTTAATTAAATTAAAATAAAATTAATTTCTTAAAAATTAAAATCTTTCCATTTTAATTAATAACTCATTCATTTAACATATTTCATTAATTTAACAAATATTTATCGAGAGCCTATTATTGTCAGGCACTGTGCTAAGTGCTGGGACACAACATGAGTAAGACAGAGACCTTAGCCTCACTGAATTTGCATCCTAGTGGGTGAGAAAAGTGCCGAAGGATAGGATGACATGGAAGTGCATAGCACGGTTTCCCAGCATAATGTAGGAGCGGTTAGGGAAAGCTCTTCCTAGAAGTGGGATTTTAACTAATGTATTAGAATTGTCCAAGAGAAGAGATGAGGAAAATATGAGAGGACCGTAGTCAAAAGCCTTCACAGCATCTCCTGTTCCTGGTAAGAAAACTGTCTTTCCCAAAAGCCACACTATCCAGGACTGCAGAATAAGCAGTCACAGTAGATTCTAAAAAGAGACTCTGGCCAGATTAATCCCATTATGCTCACATCCGTATTTACCTCAGTCCCTCTCAGAAGTCTGAGCCTTCATAATCTGGCTCAATCCTCCCCCACCCCTGATTCAAAGCCTTTCACTAGGCCCTTTGGAAACCCAGATCTGTGATCAACAAAATAGCC